CGGCTGCCTGTAGGGCGGCCCGCGACCATGGAGATATAAACAGCTTTTTATAAGGTAAAAATAATAAAACAAGGTCTTTGTCTGCAATGATTAGACACGTTTTTTATTATTGTCATTAGTGATTATCTCAATTTTGGCTAAAAGACTTGACAAAATCCTACACAATGTGCCTTTAAATACCACAAGTCTTTTCATACAAATCCAAAAACAAATCCAACATTCAGGCGTGTCTGTAAATCTTTAATTTTTTTCTTCTCTTCAGTTTTGGAGTCTGTTGGCAAGTTTTGCATAATTAGATATCTTCCACTATGAGGAATGTAGCGTTTTGGCGTCAGTTTGTCAGTGTGTGTTTCACATATGAGAAGCAGCTCTCTGCTTCCTGCTGTCCCCTGTAAACCACTACACACTCTGACAGGTTGCCAACGTGCACACGCTCCCAGGATGGCAAAGCCAAAACAGCCTTTTTTTTAGGCATCGTTCATTTGAGGTTTATGTCTTCCTAAAATAGAAAAAAATAAAAAAGGTGTTCGTACATCAGGAGGGGAGGTGTTGGCCTTGGGGCAGCGTCCGTGTTGATGGAGGGAGAGTGGGGCCGGCAGGATCTGTGTGTCAGCAGCCTGCATTGCCCACTGGAAGTGCATCACTGGCACATGTCCAACAGCCCCCACCACCCCCCTAATTCTCCTTATCTTCCTCTTTTGTTGTTGCAGCACAGAGAACAGTCCCTTTAGACAGCCACGGGAAAAATCCTATGGAGCTGGACCCACCAGAGGCTGCTCTTCTTCCTCTCTGTCCAAGGGAGAAATAAAATTGCACATTTGCTTCGACACCAAACCACCCCGTCTCAGCTTCTAAATGATTATCACTTTCACTGTTCAGAAAATGCTCCCCTCTCTTCCTGAACGTGCGATTCATGAGAAGGGACGAGTTGTTCTTGCGCCCTCTCACGAAACGTTCAGAGACGATACGCACGCGGGACTCTGGGTTTTTGATTGGATCGGAGGCGTCTCTCTCGCACGCTTTTCTCTGAGAGGAAGGAGCCTGCAGTCTGTCAGCGGAGCTGTCATGGAGGAGCGCTGCTTCTCTTCACTCAAACGGGGAGGAACACAGGAAATACGTTGGGAGGCAGTAAACACCTGCTCTCTCACCCCCCACCCCCCAACACACAAACCCACACGACCACACGTGTTCTTTAAAAAGACACACTTGTTTCTCTCAAGTCTGTTTGATCAACAGCTAACGCCACAACTGGAGTCCAGCTGTTGAGTGTGTGACCATGACACTTTACCTCACACGCAGTAAGAAATTACATGTAACCACTCTTTTTCTTTTTCTTTTTTTTAATTTAAAAGCGAAATGATTATAAAAGTTTCCTAGAAAACATAAATTCTACACTAACATGCGGCTTTATTTTAAGCTTTCTTTTAATTTGAATTTCAGGCCTGGAAGAAGCGCTGGTTCATACTGCGGAGCGGCCGTATGAGCGGTGACCCCGACGTGCTGGAGTACTACAAGAACGACCACTCGAAGAAGCCCATCCGAGTCATCGACCTGCACTGCTGCGAGCAGGTGGACGCCGGCCTGACCTTCAAGAGGAAGGAGTTCCAGGACAGCTTCGTCTTTGACATCAAGACGTCGGACCGCATCTTTTACCTGGTCGCCGAGACTGAGGAGGAGATGAACAAGTGGGTCCGCTCCATCTGCCAGCTGTGTGGTTTCAACCAGTCAGACGAGAGTCACGGTGAGGACACTGGCTTTGTTTTTCTCTTCCATCATCTTTGTTCTAGTTTTAATTTAGAGCAGTGTTTCCCAAACTTTTTATCTTCTGACCCACAAACTATCCATGGCAAAAACTTGTGACCCCAAATATTACTGATCTGAGTACATGAACTTCATTAATAACCCTAAAAACACAGGCTTTTTGACAATCCAAACAGCTTGTACACAAATGTAAATACTTATTTGTACTTATTTTGTGTTTTTGTAATAATTATATGGAAAATATTACATCAGCAATTATTTTATTACCCTTTAAATTTATTTATGGAGATTATCCAAGTTGCTTCATGACCCATAACTGGGTCCCAAACCCAACTTTGGGAACCAAAGTGCAATGGTTCCCAAAGTTTTCAGCTTTTGACCCAGAAAATAACAGTAGCAGAGACCTGTGCTCCCAGCTACTTTTGTATGATAAACATTTGTATCAGGTCAACTAAACATGGGCATAGTAACAATCTTTTTTTATATTACGTTTATCCATTTTAAATATATTAACCTCACTCCTTTGTAACAACTAAGGCAAAAATGTAATTAATTCAGAAAATCTTTTCAGGACCCCATCTTGATTAATTCAGAAAATCTTTTCAGGACCCCATCTTGATGTTTCGGGACCCCACTTTGGGTCCCGACCCCAACTTTGGGAAACACTGCTTTAGAGGACAAACGTTTTACATTCCATAAAGTGAAGTTTTGTATCTCTGTTTATTTTTCCCTTTTAAGGAAACCAGAACTAAATCTGCTCTTTTTATGACATTTTAAATTTCCACCAAATCATATTGAAATGATTTGTCATTTAGACAAACAATCAGAAAAAAAGACAATAAACATAATAATAAAAATAAATCAAATAATGCCTTTCTATTCATAGTCTTCCACTGAGTTTGCTTATTTTATATAAAAAATGTGAGCATCTTAGCTTAGGTTTTCATTTGATGTTTCTGGTAATTACATTTTTTTTCCATGTTATTTAAGAGAGTGGAATAGGAAACCACAGTGCCTGAGCCCATTTATTGATTTTTCTCTTAATTTTCCTTTGTTAAAGTAAGCCTTTGATCTTTGTTTATTATGTACAATAGGATGGAAATTATTACCCTATGGACTTTTTTTTTTACAGAAATGAGGTTATGCATCTAGTGAAAGAGCTTGTATTATGGCTCTGTGGGACATCAGAGCAGCTTCTTTCACACTGAAGCTGACAATAGTAAAGCATGTTGAATCCTTTGAAACTTTCATATGATGCGTTCGTGTGCTAATGTTTTTAAGTAAATCTTAAACCACATAATCAGTTTTGTATAGTTAGAGCAGGGGCGTCAAACTCATTTTCACTGAGGGCCACATGAGCATTCTGGTGGCCCTCAAGCAGTCAGATGTAATTAAAGGGATCCACGATTAATTTATTTGATAAACATTTATTTTAACTGTAAAATAAAGACTGTAAAAATACTGTAGGATGTTCAGTTTTTATCATTTTTAAAATATATTTTAACACGGACAGAGCCATGTTATTTACACGCAAAGCATTCTGGGTAAATGATGACGTGGATAGGTCCTCGGTGCGAGGCTGCTAGCGAGCTATATCCACCCTGAAGGTTAATCTTGGACAATATCTGAYGATCGACTCWTTTAAATGAAACCAGAGAGCGTTGACAGAGAGGAGAAGGTAGAAATGACTCAGCCTGGAACTGAAAATATGGATGGAGGACAACAGAGCTGCTTCATGGAAGAAGAACCTCAGCTTAGCCTGTTAGCTTTAGCTTTAGCACAGACGCTATATTGCTATATATGTATTAGCTCAGCGCTAGCGTGACAAACACACAAGCTAAACTGAGGTCCTCCATCCATATTTTCAGTTCCACTGACTAAAAATATAGTTTTAACTCTAAACATGTTAAAAAAAACTTAGCAGACTGTAATGCTAACAACTAATTGCTAACCCCTAAGATGACTTTCAATCAGTCTGCATCACACGTCTTTGTCACCTTCGAGCTGAAGACTGGTAGGACTGACACAAACCTGTTGTCAGCTTGATAGTTAGCCGTTAGCAGATTCAAAGTTGGCAAAACCTAATTTAGTGGAAGCTAATTGGTCCGCTAACTCTTTTCAAAGTTAGTGAAAAAGCAAATAAAAAGCTAGTAGAATAATCATCATGCATTGTGGGAGATGTAGTTTATGGTCAACGCTGGTTTTAAAGCAGCTTGTTTTAAGACATGAATACAACAATGAAGCAATCGCGGGCCACAGAAAATGCCATGGCGGGCCACATTTTGTCCGCGGGCCTTGAGTTTGACACGTGGGTTAGATTATAGCAACTTTTAATTTCTGCCAACCACAAGAAACTGAGCACTGATTTGAGTGGTGTATTTTTCATCAACCTTTGTGAAAATCCCCCTCGTATATCCCCAAACAAGCAGATTGTATTCATGCTGTTGTTTTCCCGCCATCTGGCAGCTGGTGGACGTTACAATCTTTGTGCACATGGCTGATCATCTGTAACGTGCAACATGTCCAGGTGTGGAATAAATAACAGTTGTGGAGTGTGCAATAAACTTCACATCACAAGATCCCTCGGGTCTATCTTCAGTAATTAGCGAGGCCCAGTGATGCCTCTTGAAGTGTAATCAGTGTAGCTAGCAGGGCCTAGCTGGAGGAAGGGTTTTGAAGGGAAGATGCTTCATCTGTGACAGCTGCAGCAGTGGTTCCAGTTTCTGCAGTCTGAGCAACACGGTATCCTCTTTTTTTTTGTCATGAAACACTGTTTTCACAGAATACTTAAGTTCTTTTTTCAGAGAAACTTTATGTTGTTTATCCTTTCAAATGCATTTTGTTCCCTTTTTAAGCAGTTATTAAATCACAGGGTTGAAGTTCAGATTTTGTTAGTAACTCAAAGCACCCAGACTGAGAGCAAAATCACAATTTTCAGCAGTATTTGTGACTTGGGCTTCAATTTTCAGATAAACAGAGCGTTGCGCTCCAATGCTAACATCATCTTTGAGTGTATCAGTGTTTCAAAGAAATGTTTTAGGGAGATTAAAAATAAAACTGTTACAAGCTCTTTTAAAAATATATATGTTATGCATATCAGTCTGTTTTTTATTGTGCCAATGCATCTTAGGGGAGAAACACGTTTTCCTGATATCTGCTCAGACTGTTTTGTGCACACAAAGATGTGCATCATCATCATCCTTGTTTAATTCTCTGCTCTAAGTCCTCACACGCAGGACCCACAGTTTAAGAGTGGTCAAAGCATGCACAGTATCTTTCTTGTGAAACCTGCTTTGCAGAAGAGAGTTTTTCAGACCCGTTTTTCCAATTCCTCTAGTTGTTGACATTAATGCAGATGAAACTCATCTCAGTACTTTCTTCCTGCTGCCTTGAATCAGGTTGTTCTCAGCTGTGGAAACAATTGCTCACCTACTTTTAGATGTTTTCATCAAGGCAGGTCCACTGCGGAATTGTGTAGTTTTATATGACAAATGAAACAAACTGCTGGAAGTACTGATTGTGTGGGTGTGTAGAAATATATCTTATTTATATATGTATATTAGGGCTGTCAAATGATTAATATTTTGATCTGATTAATCCCAAAGCAGCTGTGAATTAATCATGATTAATCTTAAATGTAATATACATTTCTATTACATATTGATAAAATAAATTACCTGAGTTATTAATTAGTTTTTAATGTTTTTATTTAGAAAAAAAATTGTTGCTCAGACATGATTTTTTGAATATAAAACAGGACCTAAAAATGCTCCAAACATGTTTGAGTCAGTTAAATTTTGTGCAGAATAATGAGGTTAAATCAAGAATTCAAGGATTTTAATTCCAAATGAGAACTACACGAGGAGTGAAAGATAGATACTAAGGTCACAGCTGTCTGCAAAACATAAACAAATAAAATAAAATAAGCCATAAGAAGACAAAAAGAAAAAAAACTGTGCGTAATGGGTTACACATGGAGCTTTTTTTATTTATTTTATTTATTTAACCTTTATTTATCCAGGTAAACTGTTTGAGAACCACTTCTCATTTACAAACATGACCTGGCATGCACTGACATGGAGTGCATTGCAATATACAAACCTACATATTCAGCCATAGTAAAGTGAATGTAAATTTTAATCGCGATTAAAATTTTTAATCTATGCCCATGCAGCACTAAAATTAATCAGAGTTAACTCGATTAATTTCACAGCCCTATATATATATATATATATATATTTTTTTTTTTCTTTTTATATTATATTAAAAAGTGTTCCTGACTAATTTAACCACATGCATTTGGATGCAATGGGCCTCATGCAAGAACCGTTCGTACGCACAGATTTGTTCTTAAGTTGTGCGTACGAGTGATTTAGGAGAATTTGTGGCATTCACCAATGTTTTCGTATTCTACGATTTTTTTCAGATACGAACAAAATTCACGTGTGGTCCAGACCTGTCGTATATTTTACGAGCAGTCAGTGTGCTGTTATCCAGACGGGTTTTCTTCATTAATAACTTTATATTTCGTTAGTTTGAAGATATTTTGAGTTGAAAATAAATTACGGTGCGCAGTGCCGTGTCTTCTGAATAAATGAAAATGATTTAACACAGTTGTTTATACTTTTAGCAGCTCTTTTTATTCCACAGCTGACCTGCTAAAAATGACAGATTTTCTTTTCTGGATCTCTGACAGACGGACTTCAATCTCTGAACTCGTAAAGTTTTTCTTTTTAATTTTCGCTGTCATTTTTCATGAATGGACACTTCCTTGTATCTGAGGCAGGAAACACAGCCTTATATGGTGTTTTTGGGGTGGTAATTATGTAAATAACCTTTCACGTGCACGAGCAGCAGGATACGAACAGGTGAATTTACGCAGCTCATTTACACACTTTTCCTGAAGATAGAAGAGTTTGTTGAATCTGACGTGACATGTTCGTACGAACCCTTTGTACGAACAAAAGTAAGAGAAATTTA